AGAGAGCTTTAACGCCATGCAATAAGTGTCTGATCTCCCTGATCCTTTTTTAGTTTTTACTTTTTTTCGTTTTTACTGATAAAGTGTGTAGTTTTCTCACATTAAGTTTAGCAGAAAGTGTAAGTAACACTAGGTAATCAGTGGTTAAGCGCATAATAATCTTCTATAGCGGCTAGAAAACGAAAGAACGGAGAAAGAGAGTGAAACTTTCCTATCAGCAGTGCCCCTGATGTTTGCCTTGGCCAAAGCACCTTAAGTCTTCCACTTATTAAAGGCATCATATTGTATCTGATGGACGCCCAGTTTCCTGGTATTTAGCAGTGTGAATTTCAGCCCTGTTTCCTCTTCTCCTTCCTTGGTCTTCAAACTTACCTACTTAATCTTTGTATGAAACCTCATTGTTGAGGTATGTTTTTAAGAAGTCATAGCCCTGGTCTTGTTTTAGGTCAACTGTCAAAGCCGCTATCTCTGGGAAGTCCTGAAATAGCCACATTTTACCCCCTTTTAAAGAGCACGCCAGAGAAAGGACTTGGAACAACAAGCAGGCATTATCTGACTTGATGCTAAAAAGCAGACTCAGTCAGACAAGCATCCTTACTTAAGCAGTCTCTGGCAGGAAAGTGTAAAAGGTTCATTATCAGGGATTCCAAATGATAGCAAGAGACCACAGACAAAAAAAAAAACCCAAAAGGAGACTTTTTATCACTTCTTCTTTTGTTTTTTTCTTTTCTTTTCTTTTTTGGGGCAGTTGTGACATTTTATCGATTGTAGTGCTGCGAGCAAATGTGCAACTGTGTGGGAGTCAGAAGAGTTAGATACATTTGTAGAGATTATGTTTGACATGATGGTTAGTTCTGATTTTAAAGGCTCCAACAACTTTTTTGTTCTTTTCTTTTTTCTTTTTTTTCCCTTTTTTTATTTCTTGCTCAATGACAAAAATATGTTTTCTCAACAGCATATTATTCAACTCAACCCACAGTGAAAGACCGCTTCCTCTCCATCTATACGTCAAAAAGATCAATAACATAACCAAGGCATTGCCACCACAATGAAACTCTGTCAATGTGCCAAGAAGCTCCAAAAGATCCCAATAAATGCGTAGCAAAACTGTCAATTTGTGGATTTCTTGGTGTGGCACTTGCAGCCAATGGGTTGTCAGTCAGGGCCCTGGTTCAAAAAACCCTGAGGTTTGTTTGCTGCTGGTTCTTTTTGGAAACTTGTGGCTTTGTGACATCCTCGGCCCTCCATTGGGCCGTGTTACTGTATTGCCTCATATTATCCAGGGTTGAGGAGAATTGTTTTTGGCAACAGAATGCTAACATTTTCCTACGATGCAAACCTCCAAGTGAGGCCCTCTTCTTCTGCTCACTCCAATGGATGAGCAAGCTTTGTGAGGTCCTTCTCTACCATGGGAACCATGGGTACTTTTCTGATATCATACCAGTGAATTTTGTGGCTATGAGAATAGTGTATGTTTCATTCTTTAAAAGACTGAGTGTACATGCAAAGCATACATATGTGCCTTTATGGGCTCTATAAAGAGACCCTGCTTGGGGTTGTTGTGCTGTTTTTTTAATAGAACGATTTTACTCTGTCATGTGTTTTAGACTGTGACAGAGCTTGTAAAAACAATAAAGCGGTCCACTCACTGAGGGTCATGTTTTCTTTTGTCCACTTGGTCGTCATGTTCTGTCAATACGAATGGTGCTAAGGTGGCGTTGAAAAACTCCTGACTCTGTCCAATAACAAAAGTTACGCTATGAAAAACTAATAATGGAGGGGTTTTCCCTCACAGTCAGGTCGAAAGCACACGCCACAGACACATAGTGTCACATGTACAAACACACACAGTTACGCATATTCCTAATGAGGGTCTGGACAGCTCTCGGTGGAAGGATTCTGCAGGTGGCTGCACTTTCATCAAGCCACGACTGGATTTGTTTATGTTTGAGGTCATATGGGCCAGAGAGAGACATTTGTGTGCCCAGACACACATTTTACACACTCTGTCTAATTACCCTCACTTCAGTGTTTTCTCTTTTCCATAAGACATATTGACATGTCAGCATTCAGCAGGCTAGATACAGAACAAATGGACAATTTTACCTCTCTCTGTGTGTAGTGGAAAATCTATCCCTCAACATAGGCCGGTCTGTATTTCGACCTGTCTCTTCAACCAAGAGTAAAGTCACTTTGAGCCGACGGTGACACGTGCAATAAATCATAGGTCTGCCAGTCAGTGGCCAATCACATTTTCCTTCCCTAATTAATAGCTTATTTATTTGTTTGGCAGAGTCCTGCTGCAAGGGTACAATATTCGTAGCGTGTGTTTGTCTGGTAAGTGTGTGAGGGTATTATGTGAGTCAGTGTGTACACACAACTTGCCAATGTTGAAAGAGCATCTCCACCTGTCTTTGTGAACTTTAGATCACAGAGTACCCTGTTAACCACTACTCTTTATATTTAACTTCCCCCAAGAAATGGGTCGCTTCACAATAGACAATCTACATAACAAATGCATAGAAATAAAATGCAAGGAAGCTTTATAATTAGTCGGCCATATTTCTGACAATGAGCTCAGTGTTTCTGGACTCAGAAGGGAGGTTTGGACGAAGGAGTGCCCACACAGTCCCGACCCCCAACCTAAAGCTGAAAGGCATTAAGGCATCAGTAAAACCACTCATGTCTGCTTGCATGTCTTCTAGAGTTTTAGGTTACTCTTGCACAATTTGATACACACACACACTTGGCATGTAGCTGAGCAGAGCAGAGGGAAAGTCCAGAAATTGTCCTATAGCTGTTGAACGCCTGGTAGCATTTTAGATGACCCAGCCAAGCTGTTGGTTTTGTAAACTGTTGCAGCTGGTTTGGTGTATTACAAGAAATGGGACAGCACACTCCAAACTGCAGCCTCTCTCTCTTACACACGTTCTCTAGTTTACTGTCACTCTATTCCAATTTTTAAAGTTCACGAGCACTGTTTTTTTACCTCCCAGGCAGACGTAGAAATCGGATATCTTTCTTTCTAATAAATAGTCATGTTGAAATCATGTTAAAAAACCGACGAGGCCTACTTTTGTTACACAAAATTAAAAAAAAAAGTCTGTTTATTTTGTGCCGGTTTGTGACCGCTTGTTCCTTTAAATCATGACGTTGGCATCTGTGGCTGCTTTTTTCATCAAGAATATACTTTGTTGTGGTTTCTTTTTTTCATTCATATGTCCCTGTAATTTACTAAACTGAAATAATGAACATGAAATTTGATAAACAAGAAAAGCTTTATAATAAAATAAAATTAAAAAATGCACAAAATTGGAGGATCAGCAAAGTTTGTTCATTTTTCACAAACGTATGCTAGCATGCGTGTAACATAAGTTACCAAATCAGCAGGGACACTTATATTTTCATCTAGCAGCACAGTTTCTATGTGCACATTTTCAAAACAAGGGAGCTACAGTTACAAGTGAAAATTCTTCAATTTGATAGCATGTTTACTGTTGCTTTGTTTGGAGTGGATTTCACAGGAACAGGATGCGTCTGTAAAGGTTTAGATGATGTGTACAGTAAGTAGGTTGAAAACACTTTTGTAAGTGTCTGTGGTGTAATTACTACCATTTGGTGAGGCTTAGAAGCACATCCCTAGACAGCTTAATGTAGAAAACCATCGATTAAGGTACATCCGTGTGCATATGGGCCATCTGGTTCACTGTTTGGCAAGGGGGAGGGAGGGAGGGAATAAGAAGAAAGAGTCAACTTTTCTGCTCTACTATGTACTAAAGTTTCTTTTTTTTTCAATCTTAACTAAAGAATAAACAGTTGGAGAAACTCACAAGCTCTTTTTTTCCCTGAGGTTCAAGCAAGTGGGCATAACCTAAATCTCATGCACATAATTCATAATAACTTCCTATGAATTACAGCGTTGTATTGAAAGGTGCATAAAAGACATCGCTGTGAGCCAGAATTTGAAGAATAGCTCCACAGTCTACATGGAGATTCCACAGCAGATAAATATCTCTTTTCCCATCACGGTGGGCCGCATTGGTTAAGGAAATACAAACTTTAATATGTCAGCTCTAATATAAGGGCAGCCAGTCTTGTCACAACGCCCAAACAACATGCATACTGTTAAAGGGCAGATGGGGAGGATAGTGAGCAGGAAAAGGAAGGTTCAGATATGCTTTAAGTCTGCACTTGGGGAAGTTTTATAGGCCTAATTTGACCTTAGCTCAGTAAAGTACTATGCTGATCCTCAACTCCACCCCAAACTGCTCTGAAAACAGTCTGCATTTCTTCTTTGATCCTCATTTACCGTCAATGGGCTTCAGAGAGGGAGAGAAAAAGACAGGCAAACTTAGAGAGACTCTGGGTTACCATTCTATGTGAAATGCCCTCTCACTGCAGCAGAGTAGCCCGATCTCTTCATCATTCCCCCACTTCCTTCATTTCCTCTAGCAGACACTGGGAGCATTCTACCACCCATCTGCCCCCAGTAAATATTGCTTGAAGGCTTAATTACACACACACACACACACACACACACACACACACACACACACACACACACAC